GAGCTGGTGGGCCGGAGCGGCGGCGCCGCCATGTCCGACAGCGAGAAGCTCAACCTGGACTCTATCATCGGGCGCCTGCTGGAAGGTTGGCCGGGGCGGGGAAGGACCGCGCTCGCCGTGCCCTGGCCCCCTGCCCGTCCCGGAAGTGGCGCGCGGGCGGGTCTGCCCCTCCCGGGGCCAGCTTATGCTGGGCGGGGACGCGCCGCGAGGTCCCGTGGCCACAGCTTCCCCCCGCCATTCGCGGGCGCGCCTGAGAGGTCTGGGACCCACTCCGACACCCAGAGCAGCCCCCTTTCCTGGGCCGGGGCGCACGGGTTGGCTTGGCCCTCGGGTTGAGGGAGGAACCTGTTAAGCCCACCCTTAGAAAGAGTCCTGCGCGATGAGGTTTTGGGTGGCAGGCCTTGTCCCTCCCGAAGACCCTGAGGGTAGTCGAGGTCTCCTAGAAGGCTTGAGACGGAAGTCCTGGGAGGCTCAGCAGCTGCCTCTAGACAAGAAGGGGCCGGGAGAGGTGCCCGTGGGTCATAGCGATGCCCACTCTGCTCAGGGGCCAGAGTCCTGACATCCCATTCCACCCCCAGTGCAGGGCTCACGACCTGGAAAGAATGTACAGCTGACAGAAAATGAGATACGTGGTCTGTGCCTCAAATCCCGGGAGATTTTCCTGAGCCAGCCCATTCTTTTGGAACTGGAGGCACCCCTCAAGATATGTGGTGAGGCCCCTGCCCATGCCCCTTTGGCTTCCTAGAAGTGGCACTGGGCCCCCAAAGTTCGCAGTTTACTCTTCCCCTGAGCACCAGTCCTGGCTCTGGGTTCAAGTTTCAACCCTGAGCCTAGCTTACCCGGTTCCCTGGGTCACAGGTGACATCCATGGCCAGTACTACGACCTCCTGCGGCTGTTTGAGTATGGGGGCTTCCCTCCGGAGAGCAACTACCTCTTTCTGGGGGACTATGTGGACCGGGGCAAGCAATCCTTGGAGACAATCTGCCTGCTGCTGGCCTATAAGATCAAGTACCCTGAGAATTTCTTCCTGCTCCGTGGGAACCATGAGTGTGCCAGCATCAACCGGATCTATGGTTTCTACGATGAGTGTGAGTGGTCCGAGTGTCCAGAAGCTGCCCAAGTTCTGAACTGCATTCCCTGCTCCTCAGTGGGATCCTTGCAGGGGCCTGCAACAGCAATGCCAGTATCTGAGATACCTGCTGGACTGTGGGCTTTGTAAGGGCAGAGCCCGGGTCAGTGCATTTTTGTATGCCCTGCCCTCCCTCGCTGGTGTGGGGTCTGGTGAACAGTTGCTGACTGGAGGGCTGCCCGTGTTTAGTACATTCCCCCAGGACCCTGCCTGGTGACAGTCCTCTCCAGTACCTTTGCTACTTCAGCACTAAGGATACCTGTGTGGCCTGTATCCTACTGTCCAGAAGCTGAGACAAACTAGACCCTGTCTTGGCCTGGCCCTGTTCATGGGGTGGAGGTGGGTGCCAAACCTGAGGTTGATCCAGATGGGAACTTGACTTCCTGTGGACTCCAGTGCTTTAGAATTAACTCCTGGAAGGCTGGTAGGGAGTCTTGCCCAACTTCTGGCTGTTTAAATAGCCCCAAGTGCCCTGGAAGGCCGGGAGACCCAGGCTGGTACAGGAGGGACAGGCAGACCTTATGACCTGCTCCTTCCCCTGAGCAGGTAAGAGACGCTACAACATCAAACTGTGGAAAACCTTCACTGACTGCTTTAACTGCCTGCCCATTGCAGCCATTGTAGACGAGAAGATCTTCTGCTGCCATGGAGGTGAGGGTACCTGTGGGGCACATGCTGAGGAGGCCTGGCCACATAAGAAAGATGTTAGCTGGGGGATGTGTCCTCATTGCCTGGAGCAGCTCTCCCTTGGGTCTCTTCTTGGATGCCACCCCTTCCAGGAAGTCTCCCCTGTGTCAGGCTGTAGTCATCTCCCTATTGAGGCATTCACTCTCCTACATAGAACTTGTCTTTCTCCAGGGAGCTCCATATTCCTTGAGGGCAAGGACATCCTTGTCCTTGTGTTGGGAACTTGAAAAAGCCAAGGGGAAAGTGATGACTTCTGTCTGCCTGGGCTATCAGGAGCCTAGGCGAGGGGCGCAAAAGGGTGGTGGGAAGGGTGAGGCTGACTGTCAAATGCTTCCGGGTTTGGGGGGGGACGGGACAAGGACCTTGCCCTTGAGGGTTAAGGAAGTGAATGATCTGCCTGTGGTTCCCCACAGGCCTGTCCCCAGACCTGCAGTCTATGGAGCAGATTCGGCGCATCATGCGGCCCACAGATGTGCCTGACCAGGGCCTGCTGTGTGACCTGCTGTGGTCAGACCCTGACAAGGATGTGCAGGGATGGGGTGAGAATGACCGTGGTGTCTCCTTTACCTTTGGAGCTGAGGTGGTGGCTAAGTTCCTGCACAAACACGACTTGGACCTTATCTGCCGAGCACACCAGGTAGGTTGGCAGCCCTGGCCTGGTAGGGAATGGGCAGGCTGGGACTTATGGAACTAACTGTTCCCATCCTTACCCAGGTGGTAGAAGATGGCTATGAGTTCTTTGCCAAGCGGCAGCTGGTGACACTTTTCTCAGCTCCCAACTACTGTGGCGAGTTTGACAATGCTGGTGCCATGATGAGTGTAGATGAGACCCTCATGTGCTCCTTCCAAGTGAGTGTGGGGAAGGAGGAGGCCAGTGGGCCCCATGGCTCAGCCCTGTGAGCCTAACTGGCTTTGTTTCTTCTAGATCCTCAAGCCCGCTGACAAGAACAAGGGGAAATATGGGCAGTTCAGTGGCCTGAACCCTGGAGGACGACCCATCACCCCACCCCGCAATTCTGCCAAAGCCAAGAAATAGCCCTTATGTGCTGGCCCTCTGCCCCAGATGATGGATCAATTGTATAGAAATCATGCTGCCATGGGGCAGGGGTCACACTGGCCCCTTGGGCCCACCCATCATGGGGAACATGGAGCCTTGGTGTTTTTTGTTTTTTTTTTTTAATGAATCAATAGCAGTGTCCAATCCCCCAGGGCTCATTCCTGCTTGTACCCACGGTGGCTGCAAGCAGGATCCTGGGGCCGTGGCTGCAGCTCAGGGCAATGGCAGGCCAGATTCTGGGTCTCCAGCCTTGCTTGGCCTTAGGGCTAGTCGCCGGGTCCTGGGGCAACCCATCTGGTCTCTTGAATAAAGGTCAAAGCTGGATTCTCACCATGGCCTCAGTCTCCCTTGTCCCAAATGCTGGGCGTGGTAGCCCTTCTGCACACAGCTGCTTAGGAGTGTAGGCTTGCTGGGTACAGGGCCCCAGAAGTTCTTAGAATTCCAAGCCCGGGCCAGATACATTGGGAATACAAGAAAAGTAATCTGTCATTCACAAGAGACCCCAGGGGGTGGAGTAGGGTGTCTGTGAAGAACTTAAGGAACAGGCATGGCTGGCTGCAGTACACCAGCAGAGCCAGGTTTCCTAGAAGGGTGAGCCCAAGGAACACAGATTTCCTGCCCTGGCCTAAGGCTCAATAATACCTAAGCAGTGAGGAACCCCTACCCAAGTAGCAGCCCAGCACTAGGTCTTGGAACAGACATGATTGGCTGGGGATGATGGCAGGACCCAGGCTAGTCAGGGTGGGCCAGGCAGGCAGCTCCACAGCGGATAGCCAGGTGGCGCAGAAGCCCCAGCTTGGCTCCAACAAGTCCACCTTTGCAGTGCCCCATGGCTGGGGCTTCACCTAGTCCAGGGCCTCTGGACACAGACCTCTTTAGTTCAGCCTTCACCCTCACTGTCTTCAGCCAGCACAGGGCTAGGGCCCTGGGGGGAATGTACAGGGGCCAGGATGGAGCCAAAGAATAGCGAGCGGAACTGGAAAAGAGAAAACAGCAATTTCTGGCGGCTGCTTCTCTCCTTCCTTCCTGTCCCCTCCCTCCACTTCCAGCCCTTACCTTCTTGGGTGGGGGAGTCCCTGGCACTGTAGTGGGCTCGGCTTCATCTTCCTCCTCTGACTGGGGGTCAGGGCTATTTGGGAGCTGGGGGCCAGGTGAAAGGGAAATGGAGGGTAATACCCGTGATCCCTCACTGCCTAAGGTGGTTTCCATGGCAATCATGAAAGACTCAATGTCATCACTGGCAAAGTCCTCCATGTGAGGTGTGCTGCAGGCAGAAATGGAGTAACAGTGAAGAAGAGGAGAGAAGAGGGGTACAGAGGCAGGACCCTGGGAGGGCTCAGAAGGGGCTCTAGGGCCTCATGACTGCTGGTGCTCTCTTGGTTTTATTACTTCCTGGTTTGATTGGACAGGAGAGAATGCTGGGGTTAAGTGGTGGCTTCCTGGAGGGGATGGGCCTGGAATCCCTTTGATCAGAGTTCAGGTAGGGGCCTAAGGGAGGCATCCTGGGGGCTAACTTAGCTCAGTAGGGGAAGGGAGCAGCCAGTCCTGTGAGCTGGGCCACTTGGGCCCCAAACCCCCACCTTCCCAGGAGACAAGAACTGGAGAGCACTAGCATCCAGGGACAAGCTGGGCAAGAGGCCAGACCAAACTTCCTCTGCTTATACTATACTGCGCCCATCCTCCCCAACCCACCTGCCCTTCCAGCCACCTGCTTTCCCCACACCAGGCAGCTCCCGGCCTCCCAGCCGCCCTTTCCCTCCTTGGCTTGGGAGGAGGCTCAGAGAGGAGACCTCAGCCAGAGAAGGAAGCCAGCAGGGCCTTGGGGATGCTTCCCTGGGCAGGGGGCGGTCTCTGAGTACAGCTGACCATGAAGGCTGAGCCTGCAGGGCTGGAAGCTGTGAGCACTGCAGGGGTGGGGACCCAACAGGAAGTGTGTGTATTAGGGGGAGGGGCAGAAGCTGGAAGCCACAGGCTCAGGGTGCACAGAGAGCAGGAATGGGTAGGCAGGTACCCTTACCTGTAATTCTGCAGCTGAGGCACTGGCTGGTGGAGCTCTGAGGAGCCTAGGTCCTTGGAGTGTGGGTCAGTCTCTGAGAGTGTGGCTAAGACAAAGTGACCATTCAGCAAAGAGTCCTTGATGGTGAAGATGGCTGGTCTAGGCAGGGTACAGAAATCCCAAGCTAGGTCATTCCATTCAGCTTCTGGTATCCTAGAACCCTCTCCTCCCGTGTCCCAAAGATGGAAATTACCTGCCCGGAGCATCAAAATGAATGCTCAGATTCAAGTTTGCTGATTCTGCAAAGCTCAGGAGCCCCTGGGAGGGAAAAGGTACAGCAGTGAAGCCCTGGGCTGGGCAGGGAGAAAGAGACAGTAAGTGCCTGGTAGGGAACCTCACCCGGAATTCCTTGAGGCAAAAAGTGACAGCCACCCCTTCTTGGGCCTGCAATTGCTGGAAATCCTCCTCTCCAATGCTCATCTCAGTCACCATGGCTTTGACAGTGTTGTCTGTGGAGGTAAAACAGGAAGAACCTAGGAACCTGGCCCCCACCCCTCCCGCCCTCAGCTCTACCCTGTCCAGGCCACACCTGGCTCCTCACCTGCCACCTCCTCCTCCTCCTGGTAGCTGCGCAGGATGACCCTGCGGCCACGACCAATGCCCAGTGTCACTTCAGCCAGTGCAGGAGGGAAGGGAAGAACAGCCTCCCCCAGGACCCTGTGAGGAGGGCAGAGCATTACACAAAATGCTTGGTCCTGTCCAGGGCTTTGCTCCCAGAAGATCTAAGGCTGAATGGTAACACATGCATGTACAAGGTCAGACAAGTAACTCATCCTAGAAAAAGTACTACACACCTCACTGCTGAATATGATTACTGTCACCTTCAAAGTACTCCTCTTGGTAAGCCACGCACTAATGCTAGTGCCTAGTCCACCCTTCAAAGCCCTGAGGATGAGTTCATGAACTTAACTGTCAGACCACCTATGACAACAGCTCTGATGGCCATTCCAGAAAAAGAGTTCCAAAATTGCTTTGAAGGATGGACTAGGCACTCATGTCATTATACAGTTTCTTAAGGGGAGTACTTTGCAGGTGACAGTAGTGATGTTCTACAGTGAGGTATAGAGCACCTATTCTAGGATGAGTTCACAAACTTAATTGTCCAACCTCATATGTATGGCCTAGCATGGTCTGGGAAGGCAAGGACAGAATTGAGCAAAATGTGATCCCTCTTCTGTCAAAAGATCCCAAGGTATGGCTTGGCGCCTGTAGCTCAAGAGAGTAAGGTGCCAGCCACATACACCAGTGCTGGCAGTTTTGAATCCAGCTTGGGCTTGCCAAACAACCAAAAAATAGTTGGGCATTGTGGTGGGTGCCTGTAGTCCCAGCTACTTGGGAGGCTGAGGCAAGAGAATTGCTTAAGGTCAGGAGTTGAAGGTTGTTGTGAGCTGTGTTGACACCATAGCACTCTACTGAGGGCAA